CGTGACTCTGTGGGCTTTTGCCTGGGCAGGGGCTGTGGGGCAACCTGGCAACGTCTCCTGGTGCCTGCAATGCCCGGCAGCCCATGAAAGCTGCGGCCGTAGGCAAGCATGACAGCAAATCAAAGGCACTCAGCTTTGGCTGCTCTAACTCATGTATGGGTTTTAATGGGGTCGTTGTGACTCAAATCACAGAAATATTGGGAAGATTCTTAGCTGGGCGTTTTGTGTCGATGGGAGCTGGGCTTCCCACTCTGACCTACTTTGATGCAGCCTGGCGAAGAGGCTGCTTCGCTGAGAGCTGAACGTGCCCTTGGAAAGGTGTTCTCTTACTGCTGGGTGTCCTGGTGGAGGACAAAGCTTTCTGGTTGTTTTTTGGATATGGCACCGTTTCCTTCCAGAAAACGATAAAACATGAGTAGTGGAATTGATGAACCTTGTAATGGTCAGCTCTGCTGTGTTCCCACTGAGCGCTGCTGCCGTGCCTTTGTATGGAGGGCCCTGGGCAGAACGCCGTCCCCCCTGTCCTGCAGTGCAAGGTGAAGTTCTGCAAGAGGACTCTGCTGCAAAATCTGTAGGCTAAATTGCTTCTCTCTGGGACTTTTGTCCCTACATTACGTGGGTATTGCAAAAATCCTGCCCTTGGTACATCTTCATATTGAACAGTGGTCTCCTTTTGTGGTCCTGAGATGTCTTCCTTTAGCAATAATTGTGTTCATTTAATGTATCAGCGCAGTTTTGAAGCACTGCTGAGCAATAATCAAGCTGGTATGGTGGATGAGTCGTCTGCAGTCAGTGAATATTTAGTTACCTTTCTTCCCATAACCGTGTGTGAGAAGCTAACACGACTGGGGGATTTAAATAGATTTGCTCTGTTCTCCTCTTCCTGCCTCCAGACCTTGCTTCCCCTACGCATAAAAAGAGTAACCTGGAGTGGAGGAGGAGGGAACAGCCCTGCGGGATTCAGAGCAAGTAGTTGAATCAGGGCTGAGGGGCTGTGATCTATTCCTGTTCTCTGGAGGGTGTGAAGTCCGGCTCTGGTGAATTTCGCTGTATCTTTTGATTTGAAACTTGAAGCCACGTTTTGCTCAAAGAAATGCTGAGCTCTCCCAGCTGGGGCTCATTTTCAGGAGCGTGGGCAGCTGGTCGTGGCTGTGTGTGTGGGGGCTGCGCTGCCCTGGCTGTGCTGCTGCTCCCAGGAGCTCTGTGGCGGCTGCGCTGGGGAGGGCCCTGCCAGGGCTGCAGCCCTGCAGTTGGTTCTGGCTGGTGCTGCTCTGCTGCATAAAAGCCACGTTGCTTGTTCTGCCTCCTGCCGATACCACGGGCATCTGGCAGGGGGCAAAACCAGCAAACAACCAGCCAAAAACCAGCTCTCTCAAGCTTAACATCAAAACCAAAGACCGCTGAAAACTAGGAAGACAGCTGGGACTAAATTGGTTTTGTTGATGAACGGCTTGGGAGAATACAGTCCGTCTGTATTTTCCACAGAAATCAAGGGAACTGAGTGACCCCACCAGGAATCTGTGCTGCTGGGTGGAATTAAAGAGCCCTTTCATTGCTGCGTCCCTTCTGTAGCTGGCGTTGGTTCTCACAGGATGACATTAGCTTACGCAGGGGTCAGGCACAAGGTATTTGCACTGGCTAAGTCTTGCTGAAATCCTATTTTGAATACTTAAGCGTGTTGTACGTGGCACGTAAAGCTGTGCTGCCTTTACACAGGATTGAGTTTTTCTTGCTCTTGGGGAGCTTTGAGTGCCTGATGTTTGCTAGCTGAAGGTATGTAGTACTGTGCAGGAAATACGTCCGTCATTTCTCAACCATACAGTGGTTCTGGCTGAGAGGATGGCTAGTGGGGTGTTTGCTCACTTTGTGAATGGAGAAAAGTTGGCAGCTTTCAGTAAATGTTCTTTCTTTCGTCGTGGGCTTTGCACTGTGTTCCGGTTTGTTTCTTAATGGCTTTTTGGAAGTTGCTGTGAGGATCCTGGAGGCAAAAAAAAAAAAAAAAAAAAAAAAAACCACCACAAAAAACCTGGAGAATTCTTGCTTATGGTTTTTGTTCTGCTAAAGAAGCCTGGCAATTTAGTTAACAAGATCACTTCCCCTATTACATGAGTTATTGTTGTTTTTAATTAGAGGTAATGCTGTAGTTTGGATGTACAACACAATGGGGTATAAAATGCAGTTCAGCATATATACTAGAGATGATTTTTCCAATTACAAACCTATTTAGAAGGCGGATGCATTAGAAATGATGAAATGTCAAACTGCAGATGAGGTGAGCAAGCTGGAATACACATGCACCCACACACACACACTCAGAAGCACAAGAGGAAAGTGCTCTGGAAAACTGTTATATATGCATAATTAGTTTAATCTGAAATTAATGCTAATTTCAGCAATTTGTGATGCAGATTCATTATTAGTACTCCAGTCCATTTCCACCATTCTGAGACGTTGAGAAGGGGAAGGAAATGATTCTTACAGCCGTTGTCCTGAAGTCAAACGCAGAATTCCTGCGCTGTGTGAGCTGGGCCTTGGTGCTCTGCAGGTGCTGGGGGTTTGGTGCCTGAGATTCTGAAGTTCTTTAAATTCCAAAAATTCTTTCATAAATCCCTTTTGCCCATTTTCATAGTCACGATAGCAAGAGAGAATGGGGAGGAAACGAACAAAGAAGCCTAAGAACAAAATTGATGTGTGCGGGCACGGATGGGCGCAGAGCTGGAGGCACAAGCTCTGCAGAGCCGCACGTTCCTTCGTGTCGCCTGGGCTGGGTTCCGCTCCTGTGGGACGGATCTGTTTCCAGAGGCAGTCTTCAGCCTCTTCTTCTGGGAAGACTGGCTTGATGTGCCACAAACCGATCTCATTACGACCTTAGCCGAGCACAAAATGCCATCAAACCAGAAGAGCTGTCGTGCTGAAGCACGGTGGTTTTTCCTGCTTCTGCCCCAGCTGAAGTGTTTGCCAAACACAAAGGCAGATGTATTTCTGAAGAGCCAAGCCAAGAGAGAGATTGTAACCTTGAGTGACTCTTCGCAGTTCAGTCACATGTTGAGTTTTGATTAACTGCAGCACCAACACCGTGCACAACAAAGCGGTTCTGCAGATACTCGCCATTAGCGGGCTTCATAACCACCGTTAGGTCTCCCTCTCCCCTGTTGATTCCTGCTACAGCACAGACAGACGCCATCAGCGTGCAGAGACTCCAGAAACACGTGAAGTCTGCGTTCTGTGCAGACCTTTCGATGGCCATCGACAGCTCTGCTTTGCTGCACGTTGCTGAGGTGTGGAGCTGGCAGTGGTGCCTGCTGCCGACCCGGCGCTCAGTGCTGCTCCGAGGGGTTGTGATGGATCGGCTCCCATGGCTTCCTGTCGCTGTCAGTGAGTGCAGGCGGATGGCACAGCGGGTTGTTCTTAGGTGTATCACAGAACATCCCAAGTGAAAAGGGGCCAATAAGGGTCAGCGAGCCCAACTCCTGCACTCACCTATACGTGTGTTTCTGTAGAATTGTAGGATATTTTGGTTAAAGATATGCAGGTGCGTTTTCACAGCCAAACGAGACGTTCTGATTTTAAAAAGCCTTTGGTTTTGAACAGAAACTCCGTGCCTGGCTCAGCTCTACATGCTGGTGCCCCTCAGCCTGACCTGGCCTTCCCCAGGGCTGCATTCTTTGCCCAGGCAGTGAGTGCTGAGTACTGGAGCCGTCTGAGAGCAGGGATTGTGAGGGCAGGCTTCATTTTGGCCTTCGCTTCTGTACCTAGAAGTGATTTCTAAAACCATTTCCCATCTCACAGCACACAGTCAGTATTAAAATGTTGTGAATTTGCTTGTCATTACCTGTATTTTCTTTGACTGAAGCTATAGAAACAAAATAGTCTTTTTTTTTTTTTTTTTTAACCTTCAATCTTCTTTCTAAAAGAAGTATTTCTCTTTTTCTTTCTTGGTCAAATATAAAAATGAAGATAATTTCAAATATTGCTTTAGAATAATTGCTTTCCTCCCTCTTTTGTATGACAACAGGAGCTTGGCCTGATCTTCATCAGATGCCAGCAGGCAGAGGGCTCCTGGCAGCCCTGCGAAATCCTTTAGTTACAAGTTGGCTTTAGCCAATTCTTTATTTGTAAATGACAATTTTATACAGAAAAATGTATGCTTGGGCTTCAATTTCAGAGTCCTAGATTGCATTCAGGAAAAAATAATTGAATTTTTACACTATTTTTTTTCCTTCTTAACTTACAAAAAAAAAAAGTGCAGCTCTGTAAAGCATGAGTGGGGAGTGATGGAGGGAAATGTTTGATTTGAATGGCAGCAGAGATGGGAGTGATGGGTCTGCGCTGCTGCGAGGCGCCCATTGGTGGTGGACTGGCCCTGCAGTGACACCCACTGCCCTACTGGTGCTGCTCCTAAGGGCTCGGGTCCTTGGGCTGAGTCCTGTCCATCTCAAAGGGCTGTGGGTGATGGGTCACCTGGAAGTGCTCCACAGGGAGTCCAGCATCATTCCTTTGCTTTGTGTGGACCAGCCTGGGCTGTGGGGTCTCGCCTCCTGAAGAATGTCGAAGTAGTTGTGCAAGTTCCTTTTAAAGCCACCCGTGGAAACTTAATATCAGGGCAGTTGAGTTGGATGGAATTGCCTTATGTCTGCTAAAGAGTGTGCTTTGTCTTTAGGAAAGAAGGGGGAAAAATGCCGTGCCTTTCTGAGATGGTAGCTATGAGGAATCCTTTTTCCCTTATATTTGCATTGAGAAGCACAATAAAAATCATTTATTAAAAAAAAATATCCGGGGGCTAGAGTTGTTATTGAGTGCCTTTACTCATCCATTTCTCAAGCAAAAACAAAACAAGACAAAGAAAAAAAGTATCTAATCAAATAGAATCTGAATTGCTTTTGTAGAGAAATATTCTCATTAACTGGGCTAGGGATGGCATCTGAAGAATATATTTTTTTTCCACATATTGTTTGAAATAATCTGGTTAAACCATATGCTTGTCTTGTAATTTCTTGCAGATGGTCACAAGAACAAAGAAAATATTTGTAGGTGGATTATCGGCTAATACAGTAGTGGAAGATGTAAAGCAATACTTTGAACAGTTTGGCAAGGTAAGTTCCTGCCTGAGTGAGCGCTGCATTCTTTGAATTCTTCCTTTTTTTCCCTTTCTTTTTAAAGTGTTTTGAAAAAACAGAAGTGCAGTGAGGCCTGTGCTCAAAGGAGAGCCACATTTTCTGCTTTGCAGTATAATTTTTTTTGAAGCCTATTTAAGTTTGTTTTGTGGTTCCTATTGTTTGCTGCATCTGAATGTGTACAGCATCATCCAGCATTGTCAACACTGCTCAGGGTTAAAAAAAAAACATATCAAAACAACAGCAACAAAAATCACTGGGAGTTGAATTTGTGTTTGTTCAGGAGGAACGTACCCTTACCTGAACGATTACACAGTTGTCTGCTCCATAACGTAAGCCTCCTGTGAGCCCTGATTCCAGCAGCTGAAGGAGGCACAGAGGTGTGTGAGAGAGCTTGCAAAGTTGTGAAATGCCTTTAGGAACCAGGTGAACAGCAAGAGGGGAATGGAAGTCACCAGGTTATCCTTCTGTTTCTTACTGAAAAATCTTTAGCAAGATCCTTGTGAAGCACACGTGGAGTCCTGAAGTCGTTAAAAGCAGAGTTAGGCGTGGAGTCGGTGCTGTCCGAGGGAAGCCTGGGCCTTGCCCCAGTGCTCTCTTGTGCAGCACAGCAGCTCGCACCCTGCGGTGGGCGCCAGTGCGGCGTGGGGCCCCCGGTGCGGCGCTGGCTGTGCTGAGCTGACGGCAGGCGGGGTGGGCAGGCCCTGAGCGCGGTGCTCCCGATGGGCGCTGGACCTTCGGCGCTCTGCAGCTCGGTTTCTGCCTTTTGCATTGCATCGACTGATGATTTAGATGCTTGATTGCCTGAGCGCGCAGCGGGATTTCCCAAAGCAAAGCAGCTCCCATTCCTTGTAGTCAGTTTATGTTTCTTTTATCTGGCTCTGAAATGCCTTGGCCAGGCAGTATTTTGTTGAGAGCTGAGGAGGGGAGTTTATAAACTGTTCCTGTGCTGGATTGGTAGTTGTTTTTCAAGCCGTTCACTTTATTTTCAATAATAATCTTCGATTCCGGCAGGATGTTTACAGCCTGCTGAGCCTTTTATTAAAGGATTACACGAGCTTTTGGATGTTTCTTCTGTAGTTACTTCTAATTGCGGAACTCCTCTAACCTGTATTTTTGAAGTTAATAATAGTTTCAATAAAAGTGCTTTGCATATTGGCTGGATGCTCTCTTAATCTAGTCTTTTTAATTTCACCATCTGGTAGTTTCATGTTTGCAGTTTTACAGTCCTTGATAACGCAGACAATCGGACTGCAGTTTTTCAGTAGCGACTTGTGGTTCGGGATGCTTCAGTTCCTGCTTTTGTGCTCTGCCTTTCTTGACTTTAAAGAAGGGTTTTCAGAAAGCAATACTTCTGAAGAATCAGATACTCTTCAGGTGTTATCAGTTGAAGGCTTAAAAATGAAGGAGCTGGAAATAATTGTGTAAGTTGTGAGCAGGGCTGAAACCCTTCCCTTTGGCAGTGGAGCCGGGGTTCATCCCGCTGAGGCTGGCAGTCCTTGGGGCTGGGCTGCTGTGGGACTCAGGGCCAGCAGGGTGCTGCCCAGTAGCATTTTCCAGGTGCATCCCTGTCTTGTGCATCTCGGTGCTACATTGTGATCAGGAGGAGAGTTTGAAGGCAGTGGCATTTTGGAGGCACTCAAGTGCTCTTGACTGCACTGTGTTGTTTGTCAGCTGGCAGTTTGGTTTGGGGGTGTCTGAGGTGATGCCTGCCAGGCTCCAGTTGTGAGAAGGAGCAGAGGTGATTAGTGACCCTCGGAATCGTGGACTTGTGGTCCAGCTGGTTCAGGTGGCTCAGTGCACTGCAGTGGGTGGGTTGTTTAGGCACAGGGAGGGCTGTCCCTGTGGGACCTGTAGGAGCTGCTTCCTTCTCTTCCATGCCCATCTCCTTCCCAGGCCTTACCTTCACTTGCTGCTTTTGGTTGCAGGCTCGTGGTGGCAGAGACTGGTGATGTCTGTGTCCTGCTCAGCACACCCCTCTCCTGTCAAGTCATTGCAGTAGGAACAGTGCATTAGGACTGATGGCAAGGATTGCATTTGGTTAGCGCTTTCTTAAAATAAAAGGCAGTTGCGTTATGTAATAAGAGAACAGCAGAGCCGCCCGTGCTTGATAAGAACATCTCAGGTGACTTCCTCTTTGAAATGCTGAGCTTTCTTATTGGTGTGAATAAAATTGCTTAATGGCTGCTGTGCTTCTCAGAATCCAGTCTGTACTTGCTGCAGAGAAGAGCTTTGCAACCAGGGGCGGTTGTTCTGGTAACTGGAGGTTGCTCTCAGTGCAGCCCGTGGTTACAGCCATGCAACTTTGGGCCAAGCTGACGCGCTAATTTAACGGGAGTTGGCACGAAGGGCCCTGAAGTGTTGAATTCGAAATAGTTTCTTTCTGAAAAGTAAATGTCAGAACCTTTCTCTCCAGTAGAAAGAAAACTGCCTTTAATAAACCTTCTTTCCTGACTTCACCAGTGGAAATGCCTGCCAGCTAGCACGCCAACAAATGTAGTAATGATAACTCTTGAGACTTTTATTGTGAAGCTTCTGATATGATAGTTATTTCTTTCAGTAAAGCTGAAGATCTGTGGGAATCCCAGCCATCATTCAGAGGAAGACAGGGAAAAATGACCTGCATAAAATCAAAAACCTTAGCAGAGCGCAGAGCAGTGTAATTAAGGCCTGGTGGCCGGCTGCAGGAGGGGCCCGGCTCCCTCTGCATGCCCAAGCTGCTCCCCGGGCTCAGCGCCTCTTGCGGTGCTCAGTGCTTCCAGAAGCAGTTTGGGAGCAGAGCTCAGCTTCGCTGCACCTCACCCTGGGCTGTGGTGGCAGAGGGGCCTTCGTCTGTCTGCACTTCTGTCAGGGCGAGCGCATCCCACGCGCCTCCAGCTGCAGGCGAGGGTGGTGAGGGACCCCTGCGGGTCTGCAGTACTGGGTAGCTTCGTTGCGCTCCTGTGAAAGTAATGTCGTCCTTATTTTGTGACTTGCAATTACACTTCACATGGCGAACTGTGTAATTAGTTTGGAAGACTTATGCCTAGTCATTGGTTTATCCTAATCGGCTTTGGCTTTTCCCAACAACAAAGTGAGCTTATTTTCCTAAGCTGAAACAACTCTGCTCCCTTTGTTCCTGTCTTTTATTGTCTCATTCCTTTCATTCTGTTTTACTGCCAAAGTTTTGTTTCATTAGGCCTACAAGTCATTTCCAATCCAGTGGGCTGCTACAATAAGGCCTTTATAGCTGGCTGCCCTGGTTCCCATGTCCCTCCTGGTCGGCCGCCAGCGCCTGCGGTCTGGCACTGCCTTAACCCCATCGCTGCCCGGGCTGAGCCGGGCCTGCAGCACGGGCTGGGCCCCCTGGGCTGGGAGTGCAATGCGGTGCCAGGGGGGCCCTGATGGCACCGGGCAGTTCTGGACCCAGCTGTTGGATCAGTTCTGTTCAGTGGTGTTCTTCGTGCAGGGCTACAGCCAGTCCTGGGGGTGCCGTCTTTTGAATGAAACCGGGTATTTCCAGCCCATGTTTCCAGCTTGCTGGGAACGGTTTTGTTACAGGTGCGTTTGGCTGTCCTCAGCTATTTAGATCAGTGCAGATATGACTGTTCTGGAAGCAAAGATGTATTTTCTTGTGAGGTAGAGAAAACACTAAGTTTATACTTCAAAAAAAAGTGGTTTTTCTTAAGGTGAAGTCTGAAATATTTTTGTGGACTGCTTTGCATACAGTTATTTTAAACTGCTGGCAGAGCAGTGCTGGTGCTGGTGGCTCCAGCTGTTGTGCTTGCTTTCACCATCTCAAAGCAGGAGCGTTTGCTCTGTTTTGTCTTTCACAGCAATCCTGAAATGACTTTTGGGAATGGGCGCTGTAGCATTTGGTTTATATTTTAAAGTTCCACATAAAATCAGAACAAAGATGCATGCATTAGTTTTGCTTTCTGTTGGGGCTTGCCACCAGGTCCCTCAGACAAATTGCAGGCATGCTTCAGCTTTGCCCAGAATGTGTTGTTTCGTCAAGAATGGCTTTTAAGATTTGGAAAATTTGGAAGAAGAGAGGATTTCTGAATTACCTCTCTGGTTGTGAAGGGTTTCGTACAGTTGCTTGTTATTTCCTGTGAGGCACAGAACAGGCCAGTGGAATAATAATTTCTGGTTTCTGATGTTGGTTTGGGTTTTTTTCTCCCGCAAAACTGTTGTGTTTTTGAAAGATTACGTTCTTCTGATCTCTCCCTTCTGTAGCCATGGCTTCCTGTCTCGTTACAGTTAACAAATACAAGGAGGCTGCTCCTAAACCCTCCCTGCTGCCACCAGGGCTGGGGTGCGAGGCGGGCAGAGCTGCGGTGCTTCAAGGAGCAAAGCGTCAGGATGAGAATTTGCCCCTTTCCTTTTATGCCGTCATGTGTTGTAACAGGGACAGCAGTGCAAATAATGACTAGTTTAACCTTTAAAAAAAGTAATCTGCTTTCAGTAACAGACAAAAAGTCCCTCTACTTTCTGCATGAAATGGCAGTGGAAGAGGAGAGGGAAGGAGGTGTGATCCACATGCAGGATTTTAGCCTAATCGGGTGGTTTACGTAATGTGCTTCCTACATGCTTTTCTCTCTGACAGCTGTGAAAATATAAATCAGGAAAGCATGAAAGAAAACTCCTCCTGGCTTGGCAGGGCTGTCTGGGTGTGAATGAGTTAATGTGCCATTGGAGTATTAAGCACTTCACTGGTTTACTTTTCCCTCAGACCTTGAGTGTGGCCTCTGAAGATGTTATTGCAATGGAGTTATTAGCATGAGAAAAGGTGCTTTGCTCCTGGTTTTGTGTCCTGGGGATTGGGAGTCTGCTGGAGCTGGGGCTGAGGCCAGAGCCAGGAGGTACAGGGAGTTCTGCTGGCATGAAAGTGAAAGCAGAGTTAATTTTGGCTTGGCACACAGTCTGAATTGCGTTGTTACATCTCTTGGGTGTTGATATGTAGAGTTAATGGTTAATGGGATACGTGGATGGTCATT